AATGTTTCTTTTTGCAATAACTCAGTGCAATATATATGTATATATATGCTTCTTTACCCTGTATATAGCTAGCTTTTAGTTATAGATTACATATTTATTGTGTAGGAATAAGGTCTTAGCTCTGTCACACTGGTAGCCAAGTAACGACATTTCGTCCTGACACACCTGGAATCAACTCAAACCTTATTTATAAAGGTAACGCCACATAACACATCCTCACACACACACACTAAAAACCACCCCCCATGGACATGGACAATACACGCACCTTTAGTTTAGTTTTGTCCTCAACTTAATGTTTCTTTTTGCAATATATACTGTATAAAGGTAACGCCACATAACACACACACACACACACACACACACACACACACACACACTAAAACCTCCCCCATGGACATGGACAATACACGCACCTTAGTTTAGTTTTGTCTTCAACTTAATCTTTCTTTTTGCAATAACTCAGTGCAATATATACTGTATAAAGGTAACGGCACATAACACTCTTCCACTGACACACACCAACACACACACACTAAAAGGTTGAGGACAAAACTAAACCAAGGTGTATGTATGGTCCATGTCCATGGGGGGTGGTTAACTCATTGACTGCCACCCATTTTCAGAACAGAGTCCCATACTGCCAGAGTTTTTTTTAGCATTTTGACTGATTTTTCAAGAGCCGTACCTGCAGGGGGGGGGGGAACCAGGGTCAACTCCTGACCCACCTGGAGTCAACTCAAACCTTATTTATAAAGGTAACGCCACATAACACTCTTCCACTGACACACACCAACACACACACTAAAAACCACCCCCCATGGACATGGACAATACACGCACCTTTAGTTTAGTTTTGTCCTCAACTTAATGTTTCTTTTTGCAATAACTCAGTGCTCTTTACCCTGTATATAGCTAGCTCTTAGTTATAGAAAACATATTTATTGTGCAGGAATAAGCTCCGTTAGCTCTGTTACACTGGTAGCCAAGTAACGACATTTCGTTGTCAAGATTCACCTTGTGTTTTTTGTGCAATGACAATAAAAGCGAGCGCTCTGAACGGGGCTGTTTTGGCAGGGGGACTGAACTGCTATTGGGCTTCATCCTTATGGGATTTTGACCAAAGCTTGTCACAGACATTACATTACGACACCAGGGAACTAGGTTAACTTGTTGAAATAGGGTATAATATATCTCCTTTAAATTTGACGCGCAGGTCAATTCAGTTATAAAAAAACAGCTTTTTTAACTTGTTAACTTGTTGAAATAGGGTATAATATATCTCCTTTAAATTTGACGCACAGGTCAATTCAGTTATAAAAAACAGTTTTTTTAACTTGTTAACTTGTTGAAACAGGGTATAATATGTCTAGGGTATAATAGGCTATAATATGACTCCTTTAAGCTTTAACACATGCTCTGATTGGCCGGGATCGGTGCATAAAGCTGGACGGGGACTCCCCTCTCACCACAGGCCGGTGAGGACGGTGTTCTTGGGGGACTGAACTGCTATTGGGCTTCATCCTTATGGGATTTTGACCAAAGATTTTCACAGACATTACATTACGACACCAGGGAACTAGGTTAACTTGTTGAAATAGGGTAAAATATGTGTCCTTTAAATTTGACGCACAGGTCAATTCTGTTTTTTTAACTTGTTAACTTTTTGAAATAGGGTGTAATATGTCTAGGGTATGATAGGGTATAATATGACTCCTTTAAGCTTTATCACATGCTCTGATAGGCTGGGATCGGTGCATAAAGCTGGACGGGGACTTATAGTGTATAATATGTCTCCTTTAAATTTGACGCACAGGTCAATTCAGTTATAAAAAACAGTTTTTTTAACCTGTTAACTTGTTGAAATAGGGTATAATATGACTCCTTTAAGCTTTAACACATGCTCTGATAGGCCGGGATCGGTGCATAAAGCTGGACGGGGACTTATAGGCTATAATATGGACGGGGACTCCCCTCTCACCACAGGCCGGTGAGGACGGTGTTCTCGGCCAGCACCACGGTGTAGTAGGCCACCATCCTGTGGCGCGTGCGTCCCTCCTTCACGTTGAACCAGCAGAAGATGTAGACGATGCCCACCACCATGTTGAAGAGCACCTCCTCCCACTTGGACATGCAGAAGTCGGTGCCCCCGTGCACCACCCAGAAGGCCATGGCGCACCAGTGCAGCACCACGAAGATGCCGAAGTAGATGTGGAAGAGCGAGGCGAACAGGGCCAGGGCCAGGACGCGGGAGGAGATGGTGAACAGGCGCCAGAGCAGGTGCAGCAGCGCGCCGCGGTAGCTCATGCTGCGCTGGTCGTCCCGGGAGTCCCGCAGAAGCTTATGGTAGGAGGCCAGCACCCAGGCCAGAGAGAGGAGGGAGGCCAGCGAGGAGATGCCTGTAGAAGGCACAGAGAATAAGGATTCAGACTCATGGAGGGGTTTGAAAATGGAGATACTGACTGTTTTGATTGGCTTAAGTCAGATTTCAGTCTCATTAACTAGTTCAAAAACAGAGATTTTGACTATTTTCTGACATATTATTGGCTAAACAATCAATTTCAACCTCGTGAACGAGTTCAAAAAGAGAGATTTTGACTATTTTCTGACATCTTATTGGCTTAAGTCAGATTTCAGCATCATGAATGAGTTAAAAAAAAAGAGATTTAGAATATTTTCTGACATCTTATTGGCAAAACAATCAGAATTTAGCCTCATGAAAGAGTTCAAAAACAGAGATGGTGACTATTTTGACTA